AATAATAATAAATAACCGTGTCAATTGAACTGGATAAATGCATGTGTCAATTAAACTGATATATCGTTAACCTTACAAAAATATTTACAGCGTTGTTGCATGGCGTTAAATAACTCAGCGTTGGTGCATGACGTCCAAAGCTCCTGCATACGGAGTATGGTTAGATTAGGTTAACATAGGTTAGGTTAGGTTAGGTTAGTTAGACTGTTTAACAGTACTCACAGTGTGCATGCGCTTTGGACGTCGTGCAACAGCGCTGAACTATTGGACGTCGTGCAACAGGCATAGCAAGGGCTTTGGACGTCGTGCAACAGCGCTGAACTATTGGACGTCGTGCAACAGGCATAGCAAGGGCTTTGGACGTCGTCCAACTGCTACTTTTTTTCAAAGAATACAAAGTGTGTACTGTTACATGACGACCAATCCCATGACGTCCAATGCTTGTAGAAAGACTATATTTTTTGCAGTTACTGTACATTTGCACGTCGTGGCACTTGGACGTCGCGCAACCACAGTCAAATATTTAATATTGGACGTCGTGCAACAGCTCAAAATTATATTTTGGACGTCGTTACACTGAATAATATTATTGGACGTCGTGGCACTTGGACGTCGTGCAATGCATCCATATTAACAACACTGTCGACATAAATGACACTAGCGAAAAAGAAAACTGCTGATATCTATAATGTTACTCCAAATCGATAACTCATAAATGTAAATCGCACTGTCCGTGTCAATTGCACTACCCATATTATAAATTAACGATGACAATAACACAGCCGATGTATAAATAACTACCGATGTCAAAAACATTAACCATGTCAATAACACAAGCTTACTCATGCCATTAAAACTACCTACACCAATAAAAAGCATGTATTATCAAGCCGACATAGTTAACATTGCAAATATTGGTAAAACTCCCAGTCTCAATAACACTACTGTACCGATATCAATGACATTACTAATATCAATCACTCATAATATCAATATCAATAACACTACCTATTGAAATAATACTGCCTGTATTTAATTGCAGATTAGATACGTCTACAACACTGGTTTGTGTTGAATTACCAATGTCAATAAAACTATAGATGTCAATATCAATAGTTACCGATTATCCATAATACTACCGAGTACCAACAACAAGTACCTGGGGACCGAGCTTTGCTCGGGGAAAATCATTCCCCCACTCTGCTATGCCAGCTTTTACTATTTCATTCACAATTCCCTACGTCATGGACCTGTTTTCTTTCCTTATCATAGCATTTAAGTATTACAGATACAATCTAACTGCCAGAAACAGTTCCCACACTCTGTGATGCTAAACTTAGAGTCAAATATTTTGTATAGTGTTATAATTTTATCAATGCGAATAACATTTTTTTTCAAACCACGACTTTACAAGTTGTTCCCCATTCATCGAGGTGTACATTGTGCTTCCTCCCCTACAACACGGCGACAGAGATCAGCTGATTTGTATGATAAAGCCTCAGACTTCTTTATACGAAGACTCAGACCTGCATAAGCAACACCCAGCCACACTACACTATGGAGACTTGCAAACCTTGTCCATGTCCAAAGATGTAGCCACTATTGATGGAAGTGTACTTAGAGTGCAACCCCTATGACGTAGATGGTTTCAAAATAAGAATTAAAGTCAAATAGTCGAATTTGAGCCACCGTGTCAATTTCTTCTTTTTACGGCTACTTTTGACCAAGCCACAATGTTTCTTACAAAAAATATATTTTAGCGTCTTTAGTGTGACACATCTAAGTATCAAGGATAAAAAAGTAATGGAAATATAGTAGCCTAAGTATCAATAGTACAACGATTTTACTCAAGCATACAGTGAGATTGGCTCTTTATAAAATGGGATATTCATGTGGAAAATTTGCAACAGCTGAGAGGCACGTCTACTCTAGTAAAAGTACGAGTTGTAGGTTGTACAAGGTATGGAAATCTCCCTATATTCGATAAATGATAAAGTATTTATGAGTTTCGCATCGTTTAATAACGTGCATTTGCTAATGTCAATGTTTATGTGTTATTTATTTTTACACCCTGGTAAGGCTAACATTGATGACTGCCTATGTTATTTGAGTAAACACGTAAAATTCATTGTTATTGGCGTTATTGGCCTAGAGTTATTTGTCAATAGTGTAGTTTTTTCTCATATTATTTCTGTACTAGTAAAATGTGTTGAATTTTTAATTTCCCACTGACTACCGTATATATATATGCCATAGTATATTAAATAGGCTAGTCAATGGATTGATTTTTGTTCTCTACGGTATATTTTTTTAACATAATTTGTATCGTAGTAAATGAATTAACTGATTAATTGACCTAATAGATTGCGTTATTTTAGCAAATCTATTAAATAATTTTCACGTTAGGTATGATACCGGAGTATTGTTTAGCTAAACAGAAGCACCTCGAATTGATAATCTAATTACGATTAATGCATAAAATGTAAGGATTGTTATAGCACAGACAATGGAGTAAACCTTTAGAGTATTATATTGTCTGTGGTTATAGCATAAGTACCTTAACATTCATGGCCAAAATGAAACTATGTTGACCTTATACGTATACAATAAAATTAGTATGACTTTTATAAATGGAAACCCCCAAAGATAGAGCTTTCGAATCAAAACTGCTTTTGGCATGAAACCCCGAACAAATTTGAACTCCCTTGAATAACACAATTGAAGCGGAGTAAAATCGAGCAATAAACAAGTTGTGATTTTCACCGCTGGCTCACTGTCGGAAGTGAGGGCTAAATAAATAATGGCTTAACAGGAACCGCGGGCGGAAGTGGCGCTCGATTATTCTCGACAAAACATTTGATTTTGGATGTTTTTATTCGTGCCGGCACACAGGCAGGCACTACTGGTCCATGTAGCCTAGACAAACAATTCCCCCCTCCCCAGCATCAAAATTCCACCAAAGATCACAGCTGCTCATTTACTACCTGGAGCCTGGAGGAGCCGCTTTCGTTTTATTCGGGACATCCGTTCTGTGCGTCTTTGTTTTTCTACCTCTCGTTATAATTGGATGAGTCGCTCCAAACACGACATGGTATCAATTTTGAACCAAATATTTTGCCAGTTTCGAAAATAGGTGACGTTTCACCTAATCACAATTGATCTAAGGCGTTCGGGTTTATTTAAGTTGTAAAACTATATGAATACACGTACATAAAATAAATACAAGAAGTACAATGGATACATAGGTATTGGTATTATTTTTAGGAATTTTATAATATATACAACGTGAGACGTAAATTAGAGACTGTACATTCCATGGGACATGATAAATATTGACAGACCCTAGTCAATAAAACCTATGTATATTTTCCAATAAGGTTTTCGTTAAATTAAACTGATTTTCACTACCACATTATGTATACTAAAAGCAAATCGCGTAATAAGAACGCACGCTGCACAACCACCAGTGCACTATTACAAGAAAACGTACAAAAACATTATTTTCAAGCATCTATATTTTTAATAAAACCACCAAAAAACTGAAATAACGCTATACTTAAAATTTAATCATTATTGTTAATATTTTAAACAAACTTGATTAGTTTAGCTGCAAAAATACAAGTAAAAACCTATGAAGAGAGTTGCCAAATTGGACACAGATAACCATATTGCCTACCCTGCAACTACCACGGCGCAGATATACCTCATGCCTCTGGCACAACGTAATTGAAATACTGATCACTTTTTCACATAGATTTAAATCTCCTTCGATAACATTTTAATCCGTTTATAACTTTTTACTGGTAAAAATATGTTTTGTTTAATAACTTACTCTACCCATATAACATATACATTTCTCGCAACCCGTTGGCGGAATATAAACGAAAAATGTATGAAGTTATATTTTTTATTTGTTATTGAAAGTAAGCCAAGCAAATATTAGCTTGTTGAACTGTCAATAAATTTATCATACATTAATTATTACAGTATGAATGTTAAATTAAAAATTTATTCCATCCTCAAGATGAACTTTTAAGGCCCCAAAAAAATATTTTGAAGGGAAATACCTAATAGTATGTCCATCGTTAATAAAATACAGTAGGTAGGCTACGGTATTTTATTAGGTGCCTACTGTATTGTACTAATGATGGACACACATTTTATCGAAAAAACGTTTTAAAAACATTTAGAAAATAATCGCAGACATTTTTGTGTGCTATTAGGTTTATACTGGCGGCAATTCACACAGTTAACATGTTTATTAAGTTGTACGATAAGTTCCTATTTATGTTATTATTTATGTTGGTAAGGGTTTCGTAATTATTTACCCTGTGTTATTTTGTTTTTGATAGACACGTATTATATTGACGAATACACATTATATTCTGTATTGATAGGTATACATAATTAAATGTTTTTTTTTACTTCATAGTACGATGATATACGATTTTGGTAAAAGATTATGTTTCAAATACCTATTGATTTCAGTAAATACAATTTATTTTAATATCAGGGTTAGTACCGGATGATAATAATAATTTCAGGCAAATTCCTGTCTATTTCAATAATAAAGGTTTTAGTGAAAACAAGGCTTATTTAAGCTACCGGTAGGTTAATTGATTGCAACTTTACTATAAACTATCGAATGAATACAACAGTTATTTTGGAAATTTAAAGGATGATGGGCCTAAATGTATGTTAACTTAAAGACAAATTAATTTTAATATAGGGATAATGCACCACGATATACAGAAAACATTTTTTCACTTAAAAACTTGCTTAAAATGTTATCGTTATTTAAAAAAAAAAAATTAAAACATAGAATTTTATTTTAAAAAAATATTATAGATTGAAATTCTAATACATAAGCTGCACAAACTGTCCCATCAGCGATGGAAAATATTAACATTGAAATCCCCTAAAATTGAGTGGTGGGCAAAACAGATGGTGGTATCTAGCCATATAACCTAGAATCAATTCCATAACCTAAAGCGACTCACCAGCAATTGAGGTGATGGCTAGCAATATCCACACATCCATAGCAGCCTAGAGTCGTCGAAAATCCATCTCCTTGTTTGAAAACACCATAACACACACAACAATCATTAGATCAATGACACATTAGGTCAACACCTGACACAATTCGGAATTCACTCACATCGCCCAACTACTACCACGCTACCTAGCGCTCGGCGCCGGCAACACTGATTATTGACCCGTCGTCTGTCGCTGCCAACCTCGCAACGAAAATATACCCTGACTCGTCCCGCCCGTCACCGCATGTGCAATTTCGTTTCTAGACTAATTTATCGTGTTTGACTATTTATACGCAACGACGTGCGAATTTGTTTCAAATAATTCTAAACCGCGTCATCGACGAGTTAAACCTTGTGCTAAATCAGTGGGAGTTGCACTACCACATTTATTTTCCCACAAACCTCTGCTTCCAATGACCCTTTTACGTGCTCCGACATAAAATTTTCATTGAGCGGTAGCTCATGCCTCCCAATGTGTCTCGGGAGGAACGTTTCTTGTGCTATATACTTGACTACCTTGCTTTTCCTCCGCCGTTGGAATCGAAATTGAGTAATTTTGATTCATAAACACTTAAATGGAGTTTTACTTCCAGCATGGGACGACCGGTAAATAGTACAAAAGTTTAATAAATTCCGATAAGGTTCATAGTGAATGGTTCAATAGATAAAGTGGTTGTTTGAAATTGTTAAGGAGAAATTATTTAAACAAACCCTATTAAAAAAATGTACAAGGCGTAAAAGGAACACACAATATATTCATTATATAAACATATCAAAGTGAAATTACAAAATTGATTGACCTGTGCATATAATATACATTTATTTAAACATTTAATATATATTTATCATAGCTTCCATATACACAAGTTTCTGCAGTTGCATTCTAGTCTCAAAAAAGAGGCCACGATCCTATAAACTCGGTGTAATGAGTTTTATTATAGCGAGAGTATAAGATTTCAAAATACACGGAGAATACACTTAAAATCAACCACTCTGTAACATATTCCATACTTGCAATCTTCTATTTGAGTTGAAATTTGAAATTTGAATGGTAAACAAACCACAGAACAAGATATACTTCGGTTAGAAAAAACAAAGTAGGCACCTACATTGCAATAACATTTGTAACATTATTGATTTTTACGTAACACTCTTTAATTCACAATTTCCCCGTAAAATCCCACAATCCCTTTCTCACCCCATTGACAGGCTTGTGTCCCGATTTTACTATAATTTATTTTTGTAAAAAAATACAACCGACTTCAAACGCTCTAAAAAGAATGAAATAATTTCAATAAAGTAAACTTTTGTATTAGGCAAGCTCACGTATTTTAAGTCGGCGCGGCTCTATGATGATTTTTGATACAAAATTGAAAGAGGGTGTCCATATTGCATGTGACTATAACCAATAACTAAAGGTGTTAATCTGCATGTCTTTTTCATAGTTATGCGTTAAGTGTTATTTTATTACAGTAATCAGAGATCGGCATTATAGTGGTATTATCGAGTATCTTTAAAAAGATTATAACGCATTTAAATGTTTCTAACTTGGAAAAGTAACGTTTTAATACTAAACTAGCTTCTTTTCCCTATCATAATATCAAAATAAATTATTTTCCTATTCATATAGAAAATTTGTGTGTGTTATTTTCATAATGCATTCATTCTGAATAGACGTAAACATAAAATGCAAGAAAATATTTCCTTTAATATATAAACAAAACAGTTCAGTATGTTTTTTATATATTTATGTTATCCAGCTACAATTTATCGATTTTCAAAATACACACACAATATTTAATTTCAATCATATTTGCAGTTTGAGCCGCGCCGACTTGAAAGACGTGAGCATGCCTAATACAAAAGTTTACTTTATTGAAATTATTTCATTCTTTTTAGAGCGTTTGAAGTCGGTTGTATTTTTTTACAAAAATAAATTATTTCATGATTTTTAGTGACTGTATAATTTTTATATATTAATTACTTGAGGTTTTTTTATAAGCAAAACTGTTTGAAACAATCCAAAGTTCCACAGAACAATTATTATTTTAAAACTGCTTGATTCACCTGTTCAGGTTACATAATCAATGGGTATGGAAATAAACATCTTTAGATATTCCTTAAGAAAGAAAGAGTTGCCCATTACATTAGGCCTGATGAAAAACTAATTGTCTTTTCTAGATACATTGAAATGTCAGACATCATCGTTTCCTGTAATCGGTGTACTTCTAAATTATAAAAAGAAATACAGTAACGTCTCAAGCCTTTTGGAACAATATGAAAGTTATTCCTCAGCTACCAGCACTAAAAAATCTCTCAAAAGTGGAAAATTGGTCGTTAACACCATAGTACCTTTCGTATAGTACCTTTGGAAAATATTATATGGAATATTGGTTCAGCTAAAATTGGTGTAAGTCATGTAGGGGGTTTTGTTTGCTCAAGATATAGCCTAGTCGAAATTGCAAATCATCTTCCTCTAGGACTTTCCGAAGCAGGCATAATAGTATTGATATGTTATAGTAACTGGGTAGAGAATATTAATAAACATTCCACATCTGCAAATGAAATATGTATATGAAAGGTTGGTTCAGCTAAAAGTGGTGCAAGCCATGTAGGTGGTTTTGTTTGATCAAGATATAGCCTAGTCGAGATTGCAAATCATCTTCCTCTAAGACTTTCCGAAGCAGGCATAATAGTATTGATATGATATAGTAACTGGGTAGAGAATATCAATAAACATTCCACACCTGCAAATACATGTTTAGTAATTAAAATATTTAACACTTTTAAGACAATTCACGATTATGCACTGTCACACTTCTTAGGTCGTGTAAGGAATAATTGCTTTTAATTTATATTTAGACCTGTTTTACGAATGCTTTGGTTTTCACAATACACCTTTATTTGTCAATATCATACAGCTATTCACTGAAACATATATGTTTTTGTAAGTCAGAATATTCAATACTAAAAACAGAATTACTGTATACACAAATCAGGTCAAACGTTAAAATACATGTTTTATAGTAACCAAAACAAAATGCATTTTTCTCAATGTAATTCATTTAGGCTCCATGGCAAGAAATATTTTATTGATCAATATGTAGCAACTGTTTCAAGAAGAATTGTCTGTAGCTTCAATTAAATGGTTTCAACTAACAGCTGTAGGAATGTTATTATTATTTATTGCCTTCTCTGCACAAATGTAAACAATCTGCACAAATGTAAACAAAATAAATGTTGAATATTTAAGGTTTTCAGAATTTTTCACCGAAACAAATATTATACTTAAACATAATATATAAGGTACCTAATAGAAACTCTCCTGGTTATTTTGGTGGTGGAACCACACTGATTGGTAAAAGAATCACAGAGAAATTGGTGAACATGCATAGAAAAAAAAAAACATCGCCACAAACAAATTGAGAACCTCCTCCTTTTGTTGGTAGTGGGGAAGTCGGTTGCCTTCTCTGCACAAATGTAAACAATCTGCACAAATGTAAACAAAATAAATGTTGAATATTTAAGGTTTTCAGAATTTTTCACCGAAACAAATATTATACTTAAACATAATATATAAGGTACCTAATAGAAACTCTCCTGGTTATTTTGGTGGTGGAACCACACTGATCGGTAAAAGAATCACAGAGAAATTGGTGAACATACATAGAAAAAAAAAAACATCGCCACAAACAAATTGAGAACCTCCTCCTTTTGTTGGTAGTGGGGAAGTCGGTTGCCTTCTCTGCACAAATGTAAACAATCTGCACAAATGTAAACAAAATAAATGTTGAATATTTAAGGTTTTCAGAATTTTTCACCGAAACAAATATTATACTTAAACATAATATATAAGGTACCTAATAGAAACTCTCCTGGTTATTTTGGTGGTGGAACCACACTGATCGGTAAAAGAATCACAGAGAAATTGGTGAACATACATAGAAAAAAAAAACATCGCCACAAACAAATTGAGAACCTCCTCCTTTTGTTGGTAGTGGGGAAGTCGGTTGCCTTCTCTGCACAAATGTAAACAATCTGCACAAATGTAAACAAAATAAATGTTGAATATTTAAGGTTTTCAGAATTTTTCACCGAAACAAATATTATACTTAAACATAATATATAAGGTACCTAATAGAAACTCTCCTGGTTATTTTGGTGGTGGAACCACACTGATCGGTAAAAGAATCACAGAGAAATTGGTGAACATACATAGAAAAAAAAAACATCGCCACAAACAAATTGAGAACCTCCTCCTTTTGTTGGTAGTGGGGAAGTCGGTTGCCTTCTCTGCACAAATGTAAACAATCTGCACAAATGTAAACAAAATAAATGTTGAATATTTAAGGTTTTCAGAATTTTTCACCGAAACAAATATTATACTTAAACATAATATATAAGGTACCTAATAGAAACTCTCCTGGTTATTTTGGTGGTGGAACCACACTGATCGGTAAAAGAATCACAGAGAAATTGGTGAACATACATAGAAAAAAAAAACATCGCCACAAACAAATTGAGAACCTCCTCCTTTTGTTGGTAGTGGGGAAGTCGGTTGCCTTCTCTGCACAAATGTAAACAATCTGCACAAATGTAAACAAAATAAATGTTGAATATTTAAGGTTTTCAGAATTTTTCACCGAAACAAATATTATACTTAAACATAATATATAAGGTACCTAATAGAAACTCTCCTGGTTATTTTGGTGGTGGAACCACACTGATCGGTAAAAGAATCACAGAGAAATTGGTGAACATACATAGAAAAAAAAAACATCGCCACAAACAAATTGAGAACCTCCTCCTTTTGTTGGTAGTGGGGAAGTCGGTTAAAAAAAATGTCAACACTCAGGTTCGAAGCGGCTCCTTCTGGTTGTAAAGCAAGTATTTTCTCTTCATAAAAATATTGAGTAAGAGACAATAATTAGACACAGTCCTCTTTGAGGTTTTATTTACAACAAAAACACCAAATTAGATGTATAAAATTTGTGAAAATTTAATCCGTATTAAATAACTTTGCACACGCCACGGTTGGTGGATTTCAGTCAAAGGTAACACATGATAATGCAAAGCAGGTATTTGACTTTCAACGGAACACTCGGAAAGTCCTCTCAATAGGATTTGCATTAAACACTGTCTGGCAACTCTGCGTG